GGTTGCTGTCTACCAACCTTTAAAAACCCGGACCAGTATGTTTGTCTGATATTTTTTTCCCTTTCACTCTCCAATTTTACTTCTCTTGAAAACCTTTTTTTGGGGAAGCAATAACAAACAAAAAAAATTGATTTGGATATAAATTTTTGGGATTTGAATGTCAGTATGGCCTCCCTTACAAATGCATTTTTAAATTGGCCCCAGTTTAGTTTTTGGTTGGAGTGTGAGCAACATAACATTTTTTTAAAAGGGTTCAGGGAAAACGATTGGCTGGACTTGAGTTTTAGGAGGGGCCGTGCCCGCACTTGGGAAAGGGGGGGTGGACTTGTTGGGGTTTAGAGGGTAAATGATTGTTATGTCAAAACACTTCTGGCAAAGGGCAAATGGGTTAAAAAAATGGGGTAATGTTTCCTTGGGGGGGGGGGAAGAAAAGGGACATTTCCCTTTGGGTTTGGGGTGGAGATGGGCCCTTGAGGTAAGAAAAACAGTTTTTTTTTTAAGAGTACTGTATGCTAGAAACTTAACCAAAAATTTTCCCTGCTGATTTACTATCACATAATGAAATAGCACTAGTTGTCATTTGCTTGATTTAAGTAACAAGAATGTTTGCAAAATTAAGCATTGTTTAACCAAGTATTTTGGTAAGTAAAAGGGAAAAATGTAGAAAAAAATGGAAGAGGAAAAAAAATTTTAAAAAAGATAAAGAAGGTCAGTTTAAAACGGACAAAAAATCATCATGTATGTTTAATGATGTCCAATTAAAATAGTCATGAAATAAACCAAATCCACTACATCAAATGGCTATCTGGTCTGGTCGAGCATTTGGTAAAATGGATGACGCGCCATAATGGGAAGTTTTTTACTTTTCCAAGGTTCGTCCTGGATGCGTCCATTTCACTGTTTTTGGGCGGCCCGGGGGGGGCCCGCAGTAAACCCGCCCCCGCATCAATTATTTTTTAATCTTTTTTTTTAATTTTCTCTAATGGGGTGTACCAAAATATCCCGGATTGGGGTTTGGGTTTTATCCCCCAAATTTTTATGGTTTTGGTACTGGGCCCAAAAAATTTAATATCAGTATTGGTAGATATCAGCTAAACTTAAATGGTATCTGTATCGGTTTCTGGCATCAACCCAGTTTTGGTTGTAAAAGCTTCTCCTCACTTTGCGACATTTTCATTTACCCCAACGAGACGCTGTTTTAGTATATGTGCAAAATTGGTTCAGTATCTTTTATTTGTTGTAGGTAGTAGGTTGGTAGACAGCAATGCCCCCGGGGGGTATAGTCCTGCCCCAAACAAGTTTTAAAATGGTTCGTAATTGTTTTAATGGGGGGATTTTTGGGGTTTTTTTTTCTGTCTCTTAAAAAAGCAAGATTTAGGTACATTTTGCTTTTTTTTACTTACAATTAGGTCACCCTTCACATACATGTACAAGCATATATATACCCCACCCCCCTGGGGTTTTTTTTTCTTTCTTTTAGTTTTGTTCTTGTTTATTTTCCTTTTTCATTCCTTTGGGAAGTGGGAAAAGGGAAACTTTTCCCCCGGGAAGCCCTGCAAAGTTGTAAGAGGCGACTAAAAAGCCGGGGGGCAAGAGGCTAGTAACCCCCTTTTTAATTTAAAATTTCTAAATTTAAAAAAAAAAACTTTAATTTTTTTTTTTGGGCCACCCTTTCCTTGGTGGGATATGGGCGGTTTGTTGGAAAAAAAAAAAACGTATTTGTGTTGGAAAAAAATTTGGTATTATCCCCCCCTATCCAAATACAGGCTCCCCCTAAAAATGATGGAGTTTTGTTCCTAAGGGGCCCCGTTGGTAAACAAATTTGTTGCTAAGGGGGAGATACTATAATGGTAGTGGTTTGTTTTTCAGCCCTGTTTGGGTATTGTTTTATGTCACCTTTGCCAAACCCCTTTTAAAAATTTTTGGTATAATTTTTTAAAAGTTTTTGCCTAGTTTTACTGTTATTTAAAAAACAGAATTTTGAGGAAAACAGATCTTAATTTTTACATTATTTAGGTGTTTCATTTTGGGGCAAAGGGGCCTGTTGAAGTCCGGGTCGTCGGTAAATGGGGTTCATCACTAAATGAGGGAGGCTGTATATTGTTTAGTTTTCCCGTGATTGTAAATTTTACATTTTGATTATTTTCATCAAATTTTTTTTTTCCCGCAAAATTTATCACCAAACTAGGTTTTTTTGCCGGGTTTAAAATTTAAGGGAGGGGGTTTAAAAAGGTTTAATGCCAATCTGTTGGGGTGACACAATTTTATTGTGACGGAGGAGTTCGCGTACACGGGCAGCAGTCCATCTACAAAAAGGGATTTTTTCTGTCATCTGGGGGGGGCTCAAAACCCCTTTTACATCCCCGATAATATTCACGGGGGTACCTGTAAAAAAACCTTAAAATTTAGATTTTAAAATAAAAATTTTTTTTTTTACAAAAAAAAGGCCCGCTTTTTTTCCTTTTCCCTTTTTTGGGTTTTTTCAAATTTTTGTTTAATTTGGGGCAACTCGCTTTTAAGCTCCCCCCCCGGTTTTTTTTCGGTCAACCGCGGGTGTTGGGTTTTCCCCCCTTCACTAGTTAAACACCTTGGGTTTCTATTTTGTGGAAAATTTTTAAAATTTTAAAATTTTTAAAAATTCCCCTTTTTTTTGGGTTTTTAAAACCTGATAAATTATAGTAATTGTATACCCGTTAAACCTTAAATTTTTAACTTAATCTTGCTTTTTGGGGTGGGGGGGGAACTTAAAATCATTGGTTTTTTTCCCCCCCCTCAACGTCTTTTTATGGAAATTTAAACCCTAGTCTTTTTTAAAAGGGTTTTCTTAATTTAACATTTTCTTTTTAAATTTATAATTTTTTCAAAATTAAAAATATTTTTAAAAAAAGTTTCCAAGCCCTTTGATAAAATTAAAAAACACCCCCAAATTTTAAATTAAAAAAAATTATGGATTGGGTTCAAATCAAGGGACCCCAATTAAAAATTTTCAATTTTAAAAATTTAATCCCCAAAAAGGGCCCCTTTTAAAGTTGATTAAATTTCTTAATTTTTACACATTTTAATTTAATGTCCCATGGTTAAAATTTTTTCTTAATTTAATAAAAGGGGGGGAAAAAAAAATTAAAAAATGTAAAAACACCCTACCAAGAATTAAAAAAAATAAAAAAAAGATTTTTTTCCCAGATAACCCCTTGGGGGAAAAAAGTTATTTAAAGGGTTTTAAAATTTTTTTTAAAACATTTTAAAAAAATTTTACCTGGGGGGCAAATTAAAAAATTCCTTTTGTAGTTGTAAAGTAATTTTCAAGGTATAAAAAAATTTGTTTTTTTATAATAACAACATAGGGGTGAGTTTTAGGGGTTAACCCAAAAAATCTTCCCTTATTGGGCCCCTTTTTCCCCCCAACATTTTTTTCTTCAAAAAATGTTAAATGGGGAAAAAGGTTTTTTTTTAAAATTAATTTTAAAGGGGAACAATTTTAAAAGGGCAAAACCTTAGCAATGGGGGAAAATTTTCACAAAAAGGGGGGTGTTCATTCGTTCAAAATTTTTTGCCCCGGTTTTTTAAAAACTTGGGTTTGATTTGGATGACCCTTTTTTTTTTCAATTTTCGTTTTTAAAAAATTTTCAAAAATTTTTTCCTGGGCCCCAATTTCAAAATAAATTTTTTGGTAATAATTTGGGGAAAAATTTTATATTTTAATTTTTAAATTCGTCGGGGGTGCCCCTTTAAAAATCAAGGGGTTTTTGTTGGGGGGGTTGGCCGGGGGAAGGTTTAAAAAGGGGACCCAATTTCATAAATTAAATTTTTAAAAAAATACCCATTTTTTTCCCCATTTTGAATTTTAAAAATTTTTTGGGAAAATTTAATGAGTATATGGGGGTAAAAAAATTGTATTTTTTAAAAAATTTTTTGAAACTGGTTTTAATTGCTTAAATTTTTTAAAAAAGATTAAATTTTTTTATGTTTGAAACCAAAAAATTTTTTAAAATGGGGAAAAATTTCCCCCCCCTTTCGGCTTTTCCGGTTTTTTTTCCTTTTTTTTTTGGCCTTTCCGCCTTTTTTTGGGCCTTTGTTTTTCTTTCCTCTCCTTGGTTTTTCTGTTTTCTAAATTTTCCCTTTTTTTTCCCTTGCCCGGTTTTTTTCCTCTTCATTTTTTCTGTTTTTTAAATATGTTTTTAAAGTTCAACTTGGTCAAGCAGCTTAAGTCTTTTCTGGGGCCCCGTCTGGGTTTTCTGTTTGCTTTTCTATTCTCCTTGGCGGTATACCTACTATCACTAGTTTTGCATGGCTTGGGGTTTTCTGATTGCTGCTTTTAAAATTTTTTAGCTGTATATCATTTCAAAAAAATTTCCCCCTTGTTGGGGTTTGGGGATGGATTATAAAAGAGCCAAAAAAGACCCGAACCCTTCCCTAGTAATTTGTCCCGCTATGAAACTAGAACTCAGTGTACATTTATAGTTTTCAATTCTCCATGCATTTATGTGAGAACTGCTAACCTTCACTTGTCTTTCTCCCCCCCTCTTTTACAGTACTTTTTAGGCAAATTAAACCATAATCATATCAATTAGGTTTTCTTAATTGCAAGAGGCTGGGATTTTTTTTAAATTTATAATTATTCAGAGTATAAATATTTGTTAAAAATGTACAATGTTCCATTTGCATAACATCATTGTCACCCTTATCAACGTATTAGTATGTGTCACTTGTTCCATATTAGTGTACCCAAATGTCAAATTTGTGACATCTTATTGTCCCAAATGCCACTTTGTTACCAAGTGGGCACCTTTTTGCTGTAGCATTATGTCCAAATTTTCATTTATCCACAAGTTTTAGTGTACCGTGTCACCCGATGGGTGACAAATTTTGGGATGTGCTTTGGGTTTTCTGGAACGGGACAAAAGTGGTTGGTGCCAGTCAAAGGTCGGTGCGAGGTGCAGGGTCAGTGTCTTGGTGGTTATGGCTGGACCGTGAAGCACTTCCCAAAATAAAAATCACAGATTTTTCCCAAGATGGACCCTGGGATGGTGGAAAAACCCAAAGTTACTATTAAAGGTGTGTCACACATGTTTGTTTAAACTTTAAGAATGTTCTTTCATTTACCCAAAAGCAGGAAACTGATCAAAATAAATATTCTATGCATTAGTAGTCTGCTCTTGTATTTTCTATGGCTATGAGTTAGAAATTTGTTTTCAGAATTCATAGTCACTTGATTCCTGGAGGTGGGAAGTACAGTGCTTGCACACCTAAGGATGCTTCTTCATGGCATTTATTGCTGCCTACATATTTTGTTCATGTGGCACTGTGTTAGACTGGAATGCAGACACGGTTTTTTGGGGGGATTTAATGACTGAATTGTGAGCAAGGTAACATCTGTGAAGTGATTCAGGAAAGCCCATTAGCTAGAGGTGGGAAGTACAGTGCCTGCACTGTGAAGGTTAAGTGAGGATGTTGCAGTTCAGTAGGTCATATGAATTGTGATTGTCCCTGACTTTATAGAAAGGCATAGGAAATAATTGATGGTGAATGCATTTTTTTGGGTGGTCACCCTACCTTTGTGGAGAAACAGCTAATATGGTTAAATCCAGTTGAATCAAATATTCTGGTGGTTTCCGATGACTAACTTTCATGATAATTTTCAGGTATCAATTTGGGTAAACACATTGATGATATCTACGAGGGTATTACTGTAGCAGGAATTACTTGTCAGCCATACCGCAACTCTTACATCAAGACTACAGAGGTTACTTGTATGGTCGATAGTCCAGGGGTCAATGACTTCAAAGAGGGACCTATTGTTGTCAAGGTAAGTGGGAGGTAATTTTTAGTAGACCTATTTTTTTCCCATTTTGAATATGTAATTTTGTCCTGGAAGATTAACCTGTAGATATAGTGTAGATAAAAATAATCCAAGTATATATTAATGTAATTGGAAATTTGTGAATTCTGCTAATTGTAGAGTGACTTACTTTTAAATAAGATTCATAATGCTTCCACTGTCCAGACCCTCAAAATGAAACTTGCTCTCAGTGTCTGAAATCACCCCACCCTCTCTCTGTTTCTCTCTCTCTCTGTTTCTGTTTCTCTCTTTCTCTGTTTCTCTTTTTCTCTCTGTTTCTCTTCTGTTTCTGTTCTCTGTTGTCTTTTTCTCTGCTGTGTGTTTCTTCTCTCTCTCTCTTTCTCTCTCTGTTTCTCTGTTTCTCTCCCTGTTTCTCTCTGTTTCTCTCTGTTTCTCTCTGGTTCTCTCTCTGTTCTCTCTCTGTTTCTTGTTTCTTCTCTGTTTCTCTCTCTGTTTCTCTCTCTCTGTTTCTCTTCTCTCGGTTTCTCTCTCTGTGTTTCTTCTCTCTGTTTCTCTCTCTCTGTTTCTCTCTCTCGTTCTCTCTCTCTGTTTCTCTCTTGGTTTCCCTGTTTCTCTCTCTCTGTTTCTCTCTCTCTGATTTACTCTCTCTCTGGTTTCTCTCTTCTGTTTTCTCTCTCTCTGTTTTTCTCTCTCTGTTTCTCTCTCTCTGTTTCTCTCTCTCTGTTTCTCTTCTCTCTTGTTTCTCTCTCTCTCTTTTTCTTTCTCTTCTCTCTGATTGGTGAATGATGAAGTAAAGGGTGTGATAAAAGAGGAAAAAAGGTTGCTTATGAGAGGGTTTTTTACAAAGCAGAAGTGTTATAAGAAGAGCAGAGTTATGGAGAGTAAAAAGAAAGGTGAAGAGAGAGAGTGGTGAAGAAGTACAAATGGAGAGCAGATGATAGAGTGGGAGAGCCACTTGTCAATAAATTTTATGAAATCTAGAAAAAATTTTGGAGTGTGAGTAAACAAGTTAGAGAATGCTTATGGTATGAATGATTTTGTGGAGTTAAAAACAGAGTAGGGGATTAGGAGATGGGAAGCTGGAGGATTGAGGTTAGATGGCGGGAATATTTTGAGGCAACTTCTAATTGTCGATGAAGAAACGGGAGGGTGGTCATTTTGCACTATCTAGGGAGGTTGTTGTTAACATCTTTTAGGGGTGAGAAGAAGAGCAGGATGCGACGTGTGGGGGAGGTCTGCGTGCAGCAATTACGTAGAATGAAAGGGGGTTAAGCTGTTGGAACTGGACAGGATATGACAGAAATGTTAAAGCAGGGAGAGGGATATAGTGTTGGAGTGGTTGGTATTTTGAGAGGAGGATGAGCGGCAGCTAGAGTAGTGGTAAATGTCTGTTTGAGAGCGAGTATGGTGATGATTATTGTGCAGAGAATTCAGGGTTGTGAAATTAAAAGGTGGATGTGGGGTCACAAGAGTATAAATAAGGTGTGATGTAGTAGTTTGGTCATCTAAAGATGGTGGGGGGAGAGAGATAATGAGTGAGATAATGTATATTACATACATCTATGGTTTTTCTCCTTTTTCTAAATAGCTCTTGTTCTTCTTTATTTCTTTCTTTGTCCATTGGGGAAGTGGGAAAGGATCTTTCCTTCCGTAAAGCCATGCGTGGCGTATGAGCGAACCGAAAATGCCGGGAGCCAATGGGCTTAGTAACCCACTTCTCCTGTAGACATTACTAAAAAGAGAAGATGAAAAACTTTATGTAAAACTGGGATGCTTAAATGTGCGTGGATGTTGTGCGGATGACAAGAGACAGATGATTGATGATGTTATGAATGAAAAAAGTTGGATGTCCTGGCCCTAAGATGAAACAAAAGCTGAAGGGGGTAGGGGTGTTATATCAGTGGGGGGAAATAAATGGGATTAAATCTGGAGTATCTGAGAGCGTTAGAGCAAAGGAGGAAGGGGTGGCAGTATGTTGAATGATCAGTTATGGAGGAGGAAAAGATAATATGAATTGTGTAAAATTCAAGAATTATGTGGATTCAAGTAAAGGTTGGATGCGAGAAGTGGGTCATAATAAGCGTGTGTATGCACCTGGAGAAGAGAAGAGAGGAATGGCAGAGGAGAGAGAGGATTTTGGGAGATGGTAAGTGAATTGTATAGGAGCATTTGAAAACCAGAAGTGAGAGAGTAATTGTGGGTAGTGGGCATGAATGCTAAAGTCAGTAGAGAAACTTTTAGAGAGAGGGTGGTTGTGGTAGGTAAGTTTGGGCACATGGTGCCACGTGTAAAATGATAATGGGTAGCCTTTGAACCCTCCCCCCCCGCAACTCTATGTATAGAAAGGGGTTCTACTTTATAGGTCCCCAATACACCCCTCATTTTAAGGCAGACACAAACCGAGGATAAATAGACCCAAGATATGATGTAGGGCGAAAATGACAGTGTTTGTTGGATTTGTATTGGTAGAATAAAGACTGTTGGTTGACTTCAGGATTTTACATGTTTATAGAGGGCCACAGATATATCAGATCACTTTCTAGTTGTAGCTACACTGAGAGTAAAAGGTAGATGGGATACAAGGAGAATAGAAGCATCAGGGAAAGAGAGAGGTGAAGTTTATAATACTAAAAGAGAGGCAGTTAGGGTAATGATATAAACAGCTATTGGAGGATGATGACTTATGATAGCATAGGGCCCAAAATTTGGGGGTCGAAGAGGTATAGGGGTTAGGTTTTTAAAAATGTAAAGTGTTTGGAGTGTTCAGCAGAAGGTTGTGGTTAAAGGAAATGTGGGTGCGGGAGGAGGGAGATCGAATGCTGGAATGATGTATGTGTGAAGAGAGTAGTAAGGAGAAAAAGTTAGCATACAGAGAAGGTTTTACAAAGTAGAAGTGATTGCAAGGAGGGAAGGGTATAAGGAGAAAAGAGTTGAGGTTAAGAAGTGTGGTGATGCAATGTAAAAAGAGAGCAAAATGAGAGGAGAGGGTTGAGATGTTTTCAACAAATTTTGTTGAAAATAGAAAAAGTTTTGGAGTGAGATTAACAAGTTAAGAAAGCCTAGAGAACAAATGGATTTGTCAGTTAAAACTTAGGAGAGGAGAGTTATTAAATGGAGAGTTAGAGGTATTGGAGATGAGGAATATTTTGAGGAATGGTTTAAATGTTGATGAAGATAGGGAAGCTGTGATTGTTGTGTTATAGGACAAGGAGGAATAAACATCTTGTAGGAGTGAGGAAGAGCCAGTTGTGAGGCTGTGGGGGAAGTTCGTGAGCAGTAGGTAAATTGAAAGGGGGTGGTAGGCAGCCGGGATTGATGGGATAAAGATTAGAAATGTTTAAAAGCAGGTGGGGATATAGTTTTGGAGTGGTTGGTGCAATTATTTTAATAAATGTATGGTGAAGAGGGTAAGGTACTAGGGATTGGCAGGAGCAGAGAGCTGCCATAGTTCCTTTGTATAAGGAAAAGGGGAATAAAGAGAGTGCAAGAATTATAGGGGGATAAGTTTGCTGGTATATCCTGGTTAAAGTGTATATGGTAGAGTTATTATTGAAAAGAAGTTTAAGAGTGAGACGGAGAATAGGATAGCAGATGAACAGGAGGCTTTAGGAAAGGTAGAGGGGTGGTGTTGACCAGGTTGTTTTTATACAGTGAAACATATAAAGTGAACAGTATTTAGATTAGGCTAAAGAGTCTTTGTGGCATTTATGATTTGGAAAAGGTGTATGACAGGGTGGAGTAGGGGGCAAATGTGGCAGGATTTTGCAAGTGTATGGTATAGGTGTAGGTTCTGAAAGCAAGTGAAGAGTTTTTATGAGGATAGTGAGGCTAAGTTAGAGTATGTAGGAAAGAGGGAAATTATTTCCCAGTTAAAGTAGACCTTAGACAAGGATGTGTGATGCACCGTGGTTGTTTATATATTTATAGATGGGGTTGTAAGAGAAGTAAATGCGAGGGTCTTGGCAAAGAGGCGTTGGAGTTAAAGATAAAGAATCCACAAAAGTGGGAGTTTGTCACAGCTGCTGTCTTTGCTGGGAATGCACTGTGCTCTTGGGAGATTCTGAGAGAAGTTGCCCAGAGATTGGTGGATGATTTGGTAGGGTGTGCAAAAGGAAGAAAATTTAAAGTTGTGGAATACAGGAAAGAGTAAGGTTATGAGGATAACAAAAAGATTAGTGTTGATGAAGATTGAATATCAGATTGTGAGGGAGGAGAGAGTATGGAGGTGGTGATGTATTCAGATATTTGGGAGTGGACGTGTCAGGGATGGTTCTATGAAAGATGTAGGTGAATCATAGAAATTGATGAGGGAAAAAAAGAAGTAGAGTGGTGCATTAGAAGAGTCTGTGGAGGACAAGAACTTTTGTCCTTGGAGGCAAAGAGGGGAATGTAATGGAGTACTAGTTTACCACGCTCTTATTTGAGTGCTGATAGCGTGGGTGATGAATGTTTTCAGCGGAGGAGAAGGCTGGAGGGCAGTGGAGATGCATGTTCCTGAGGGCAATGTGTGGTGTGAATATAATGCAGAGAATTTGTTGTTTGGAAGTTAGGAGGAGGTGCGGATTACAAAACTGTTTTCCAAGAGGGCTGAGGAAGGGTTGTTGAGGTGGTGTCTCATTTTGTTTTTGGGACAATGTAGTGAGAATGGAGCGAAACAGAATGGCTTCAAGAGTGTTCAGTCTTGTAGTGGAAGGAAGGCGGGTAGGGGTTCGGCCTAGGAATGGTTGGGAGAAGGGGGTAAAGGACGGGTTTTGTTGTGCGAGGGGCTTGGACTTCAGCAGGATGGTGTGAGCCGTGTTTGATAGGAGTGAATAGAAACAAATGGTTTTTAATACTTGACGTGCTGTTGGAGTGTGAGCAAAGTAACATTTATGAAGGGGTTCAGGGAAACCGGCAGGCCGGACTTGAATCCTGGAGATGGGAGTACAGTGCTGCATGGGCACTCTGAAGGAGGGTTGTTTATGTTGCAGTTTAAAAACTGTAGTGTAAAGCACCCTTCTGGCAAGACAGTGATGGAGTGAATGATGGTGAAAGTTTTTCTTTTTTGGGCCACCCTGCCTTGGTGGGAATCGGCCAGTGTGAAAAAAAAAAAAAAAAAACTCTGGGGGTTGAATGAAGGAGGGGTCATCCCAGGAATGGTTGGAGGGAGGGAATAAAGGAGGCTTTTAGTTGTAGGGGCTTGAGCAATCAGCAGGCTTGTATGAGGATGTTAGGATTGACTGGATAAAAGTGGATTTTCATGGATGTGCTGTTGGAGTCTGAGCAGTGTAACATTTATGAAGGGATTCGGGGAAACCATTTAGCCAGATCTGAGTCCTGGAGGTGGGGTAGGATACTGGTAGTTGGAAGGTCCTCTGAAATGTGATGTCATCACAGTTTTAGCAAAGCAACAGTGAAATGAATGATGGTGTATGTGTTCTCTTCTTTTGTCACTCTGCCTTAGCAGGAAACAGTTGTTGAGATAAAGAAGAAATATGTATAATTTTCTTATCCACAGGTGGCTCGAGAATACAGAGGAGAATCGTTGCAAAAATATAGATTTGTTAATCCTGAGATAAAGGACCTCACCCCAGATTCTGGGCCAAGATCTGGTGGAACTCTTCTGCACATAATTGGGGAACACATGAATGCAGGCAGTCGTATTGAAGCCTTCATTAGTGGAAGACCATGCAAGATTCAAAGGTATATTTTTAGTGGTACTATTTGAGTAAAGAGTTCCATTTGTATAACATCTCCATTTACAAGCAATGACATCAATTATTACTTAACAAGAAATCTTTAATATATGTTTGTTGACATTCTCTGGATAATATTTTAATTAAATATACAGTGGAACCTTGGGTTACAAACGCCCCACCATGCGAATTTTTCAGGATACGAACCATCATTTGGTCAGTTTTTTGCTTCTGGATACGAAAGAAATTTCAGGTTGCGAACTTTCCCCTCAAGGTTGCACAGTGTGTTTACATGTCATAATATGATTGGAGCAAAGAAAGCCACTATTATGCCGAGGCATTTCGGGCAGGAATGCCTACTTAAGACTACTTAAGTCTAGACAGGTGAAAAGTGTATTAGTAGTGGTTACCAATGTTTTGCTGATGGTGGCACCAACTACTGGCAGCCTTTTGAAGTTTCTCCTTACTGTTGTTGTTGTTATTATTATTGTATTATTATTATTATTGTTATAATAATGATTATTATTATTAGTAGTAGTAGTAGGTACTATGTGGTGAGGGGCTCTTGATCTAGGGAATTGGATCTGTGCTACAGGTCCTTAAATTAATAATAATAATAATAATAATAATAATAATACATAATAATTATGTAAAATGGAAGATGGCACAACATAATGATATACCAGAAATATCCCCGGGAAGCACCCTGGCTCAACAGGTACATACCAGGGAAATAATGAGGTTTTGTGAAAAGTACTCTTTAAACCAACAGATAATTGATCCCACTAGAAATGAAAATACCTTGGATTTGATATTCACAAACAATGAGGAACTGATCAGAGACATAACAGTTTCCAAAACTATTTACTCTGATCATAACATCATAGAGGTTCAAACTAGTATTAACTCGGGTAGGAAACTGCATCGCTAAAGTTAGAGACGGGATGTTCAGTAAGTTTAATTTTAACAACCATAGAATTAACTGGGAAAAAATAAACCATGAGCTATCAGACATACCCTGGGAATCAGACATGAGCGACCTAAATCCCCACCAGTGCCTACAGAAGCTGAATACAGAAGCATACAAAGTATGTATGAAACATGTACCATTGAGGAAACCCAGAAGAAGATCAGATATAGAGAGAGAGCGTAGGAGATGGTACAGAAGAAGAAAAAGGTTTATGAACTGCTTAAAAACACAAATATGCTACAACAGAGGAAGGATAGACTTAGTAGAGAGATCACTGAATTAGAGCAAAAACTTAGGATGTCATACCTCACAGAAGTACAAAGGGAACAAAAGGCCATACAGGATATTGCAAGAAACCCAAAATATTTCTATTCCTACACAAAATCCAAGCTAAGAACTACCTGTAGAATTGGACCACTACTGAGAGGAGACTTGTATACTGACGATGAACAGGAAATGAGTGAAATCCTAAAAGAACAGTACGAGTCGGTGTTCAGCAACCCACTAAATGACAGCAAGATAGAAAATGCAGAAATATTTTTCACTCCAGAAGAAGGCTGCACAGACCAACTAACTGACATTAGTACAAATCCCATAGATTTCGAAAAAGAAATGGAAAACATACCCACTCACTCAGCACCTGGACCAGATTCATGAAATGCTCTCTTTATAAAGAAGTGCAAAGTACCACTAGCACGAGCCCTCAGTATTCTTTGGAGAAAGAGCTTAGATCTAGGTGAAATACCAGAGGCCTTAAAGAGTGCAGACATAGCTCCTTTGCACAAGGGAGGCAGTAGAGCACTATCTAAAAATTACAGACCAGTAGCCCTAACCTCTCGCATCATAAAAATCTTCGAAAGAGTGATGAGACGGCAGGTTACAAATTTCATGGACCAGCACAACCAACATAACCCGAACCAGCATGGTTTTAGAGCAGGACGATCATGTCTGTCACAGCTGCTGAACCATTATGACAGAATTATGGAGGCACTGGAAGACGACCAAAACGCAGATGTGATTTACACAGATTTTGCAAAGGCGTTTGACAAATGTTGTGTATCTCTATACGTATATGCTTCTAAACTGTTGTATTCTGAGCACCTCTGCAAAAGCAGTGATAATGTGTGAGTGTGGTGAAAGTGTTGAATGATGATGAAAGTATTTTCTTTTTGGGGATTTTCTTTCTTTTTTTTTTGGGTCACCCTGCCTCGGTGGGAGACGGCCGACTTGTTGAAAAAAAAAAAAAAAAAAAAAAGTTTGACAAATGCGATCATGGAGTGATAGCGCACAAAATGAAGGCCATGGGCATTACGGGGAAGGTAGGCAGATGGATTTTTGGTTTCCTAACACACAGAACACAAAAAGTAGTAGTGAACAGGGCAAGATCCAGCATCAGCGAGGTCAAAAGCTCAGTGCCCCAAGGCACTGTCCTGGCGCTGTTCCTCATCCTCTTAGCAGACATAGACAAAAACACCCGGCACACTTTTGTATCATCATTTGCAGATGACACTAAAATAAGCTGAAAGTCAGTAAAGGTAAAGGGCACTGAAAAAGTACAGGAAGACATAAACGGGTTTTCCAATGGGCAGTGGGAAAAAAACATGACGTTCAATGGTGATAAGTTCCAGCTGCTTAGGTATGGAAAAAATGAAGAACTCAAAAGGAGAACTATATACAAAACTCAAGGGGGTTTTACCAAATAGAACGTAAGGGAAACACGTAAAAGACCTAGGAATAATTATGTCAGCGGACCTTTCTTTTAAAGCCCATAACAAGACAAAGATCACGACAGCCAGGAAGATGACGGGGGGGTATTGAGAACTTTCAAAACAAGGGAAAAATGCCGATGGGACACTCTTCAAATCTCTAGTGCTCCCTCACTTAGAATATTGCTCAGTGCTGACGCCCCGTTCAGGGCCCGGAGAAATATCGGAGCTGGAAAAATAGAGATCGTTTACGGCTCACATTGAGCCAGTAAAGCACCTAAACTACTGGGAACGCCTGCAATTTCTTGAACATGTACTCATTGGAGCGGAGGAGAGAGGGTACATGATACTATATACCTGGAAGGTACTCGAGGGTTTGGTCCCAAATCTGCACACTGCCAAAAACAACATACTGGAGTGAGAGATATGGGAAAAGTGTAAAATAAACCCAGTTAGGAGCAGGGTGCGGGAGGACAATAAGGGAACACTTATCACATTTTGGGGTCCCAGACTTTTTAACATCTTACCAGAAGATATCAGAAACACTGCTGGAACAAGTGTTGAAGCCTTCAAGAGGAAACTGGACAAGTATCTTCACCAGGTGCCAGATCAACCAGGCTGTGATGGCTATGTGGGGCAGCGGGCCTCCAGCAGCAACAGCCTGGTTGACCAGGCGAGCACCAGACAAGCCTGGCCCATGGCCGGGCTCAGAGAGTAGATATACTCTCGAAATTCTTCAAAGGTATATCAAAGGTAAGGTATATAATATAACAATAATAAATAATATATATAATAATAATAAATAATAATAATATGATAATATATCATAATAAATAATAATAATATGATAATATATCATAATAAATAATAATAATATGATAATATATCATAATAAATAATATAATGATAGTAGTACAGTAATTATTATAATACTACGTACATACTGCGTATAATTTAGTCTGACACCACCATAATGGTCACCAGTGCACATGTGCTTACGGAGCTACCCTCGCGGTGCAAGGAATTTCCATGATTTCCTTACATTTCGTGCAGTTAATTTGCCAAGTTTCCTTCTTCTAACCATGGGTTCTAAGGAAGCAAGTGCAAAGGATGTTGCCGAGATGAAAAAGAGGATGATTTGCATGGAATTAAAGAAAGAAATGATAATAAGCACAGACTAGGTACGAGGGTTGAGGACTTGGCGAGTTGAGCACAAGCGTAGCCTCTCTACTATATGTACCTACGGGTTTAGCGCTTCCCCATGATTATAATAATAATAATAATAATCTATATGTACAATACTAAAGCAGGAGTCTATAAAGGCTATAGTGCCAGCAAAGGGCATCACAGTAATTTCTAAGCAGTGGACCTCTGTAAATTAAAAGATGGTAAAGCTGCTGTTGACATGGTTGACGGAGAAACAGCTCACAGGCGATACGTAGTGTAGTGAGATAAATATAAAAATTGTACATGGCAGTTCTTAAGAAAAGTGTGAACTCCTAACAGGATATGCCACTCTGCATTTGTTCTCCAAGGTATGTAAATATTGTATGTACACCAGATCTAATTCAGTTAGCCTCACAAAGTCCGTTTTCTCTTATAACACCTCTGACATTTTCATAGCGAGAGTGCGCGACCACTCCCGACCAAAATCCTCCTCCCTCCATGTAATGACATATTCTATTCATTCTAGAGTGTATATCAGGTTTATATGTTATTTATATTGTTTATTATGTCATATTAGATGAATTGTGACAGATAAATAAGCCGTAGAGTTGATATTAGGGTTATTTTGTCATGCCTCCTGAGAGCAGGAAATCAGCTGGAATGAATTAATTGCATTTCAGTTAATTTAAACGAGGAAAATTGACCCAGAATACGAACAAATCAGGATACAAACAAGTCCACGGAACGGATTAAATTCGTAACTCGAGGTTCCACTGTACTTTATTATTCATTCAGAAAAAGATCACACCTGATTTCCTTCCCTTCCCAGGAGCTGTATGACCCTTATTGATTTAGTGTTTCTTCATGAATAATAACTAATTTTATTTAGGCATTTTTGTGTGCACCTGTTTTTATTGTTTTAGTTTTGAGCATTTGGTAACTTACCTTTTCACCATCCACAGCACTAATGCAACTGTGGCAACCTGCATCACTTCAGCATCATCTGATCTTCAGGAAGGAAAAATTGAAATGGTGTTTGATAATGGCCGTAGAAGACTGGAGAAAAGCATTTCACTTATGTCAATGACCCAACAATTATAACTGTCAAGTCTGGGAGAGCAGGCCAAGCAGGACTTGTAAGTACAGCAATATTATCTAAACCTTGATAAGTGGTAGATATAAACACTACATTAAACTAAACTGAGTTAAAGAAATTGCAATTGCTTCATTCCTTTCATACAGATAAAAATATGATACTATCTTCAAGACACTCAAAATTGGCATGCCATTTCTTCATAATGATAATTCTTTGTTGCAAGGGATTGTAACACCTTGGTTGTTGGAAATTCACACAATTTCATTAGTGACATCGTTAGAAGCAGAGTCACCTTAGAAGTACTGTAATGTTGTTTAGAAATGAAAACTAATATGATATTAAGATTTATTTGAAAAACAATATACACTAGGGTGTAAAATCCATGAAGGTTCTTGACAACTGAGAAAAAATGATATGTAGCTACAGTGACCACTTGCTTATCCAACATAGAGGAGCTAGGCTGGTAGGGCTGACCGTATATTAGAACATGTATTTATACACATTTTGATAGCAAATATAAATATGGGTGATCAAAAGACAATTGAAGAAACATTAATTAAAATTCATTCTCATTTCTAATTTCATAGAAAAGCAAAATCTACATGTCTTGAGAGATTTGTGCCAAAAAATTTATAATCCACTACATATGCATAAAACTGTTACTGTATATACATAAAAAGCTGTATAGAAAAAAATATTAAATGAAGAAAGAGCAAACACTGAGTTAAATCTGAAGGAAAAATCTTGCTCAACTTTTAGTTACTCCATATATTTTTGACCGTATGCAAATAAGAAGGTAAAAAGTACCTCTAGTTTTGGACCCATGTTTAAGGGAGACAAAATTTTCACTGGTGACACCAGAGAAATAACCAAAAAATTAAGGACACACTAGAGTTTGACAATTCGCATGAATATTTTATGGATGTGACATCAAATTCTTGTCACTGATGGTATGCCCATGAATCCTGCCCCAAATTAAGACTCCAGGAACTGTACTAGTGTGACATCCACTGAAGGCAGTCAACCTCAGTGCACTACAGAAAAATTATGATGTTCAACAAGAATAAATTTTAGCTACATTACCATTAAAATAAATAAGAAATGAATGTAAGCAAAATAAAACTTTTAAAACAAGTGCCAATCCCCACTGTTAATGCCCTGTGAGGTACTTGTACTTTCTAGACTGGAGTATTGCTGTATAATAATGATTTTTCTTCTTTAAGGTAAGCCAAATCGCAGACGTGGATTTTTTTTTTTTTTTTAACAAGTCGGCTGTCTCCCACCAAGGCAGGGTGACCCAAAAAGAAAGAAAATCCCCCAAAAAGTAAATACATTCATCATCATTCAACACTTTCACCTCACTCACACATAATCACTTTTTTTTGCAGAGGTGCTCAGAATACAAGTTTTTTTGAAGCATGTCGTATAAAGATACAAAAAAATATCCCTCCAAACTGCCAATATCCCAATTCCCTCCTTTAAAGTGCAGGCATTGTACTTTCATTTCCAGGACTCGAGTCGGCTATATAAAAATAAACCGGTATCCCCCCAAAACCTTCCCCTAAAAACACCCTGTCACACTTTTCCAACAGCTCGTCAGGTCCCCAAATACCATTCGTCTCTGTTCACTCCTTCCCAACAGCTCGCGCATGCTTACTGGAAGTCCAAGCCCCTCGCCCACAAAACCACCTTTACCCTCTCCCTCCAACCTTTTCGAGGACGACCTCTACCCCGCCTTCTTTTCCGTACAGGTTTATACGCACTCCATGTCATTCTACTTTGATCCTTTCTTTCTAAATGACCAAACCACCTCAACAACCCCTCTTCAGCCCTCTGACTAATATACTTTTATTAACTCCACACCTTCTCCTAATTTCCACACTCCAAATTTTCTGCATAATATTTACACCACACATTGCCCTTAGACAGGACATCTCAACTGCCTCCAACTCTCTCCTTGCTGCAGCATTTACAACCCAAGCTTCACACTCATATAAGTGTTGGTACCACTATACTTTCATACATTCCCTTCTTTGCCTCCATAGATAACATTTTTTTTTGTCTCCACATATACTTCAACCCTAGGTAGTAGGTTGGTAGACAGCAACCGCCCAGGGAGGTACTACCGTCCTACCAAGTGAGTGTAAAACAGAAACCTGTAATTGTTTTACCTGATGGTAGGATTGCTTGGGTCTTTTTTCTGTCTCATAAACATGCAAGATTTCAGTTATGTCTTGCTACTTTTGCTTACACTTAGGTCACACTACACATACATGTACAAGCATATAAATACACACCCCTCTGGGTTTTCTTCTATTTTCTTTCTAGTTCTTGTTCTTGTTTATTTCCTCTTACCTCCATGGGGAAGTGGAACAGAATTCTTCCTCAGTAAGCCATGCGTGTTGTAAGAGGTGACTAAAATGCCAGGAGCAAGGGGCTAGTAACCCCTTCTCCTGTATATATTACTGAATGTAAAAGGAGAAACTTTCGTTTTTCCTTTTGGGCCACCCCGCCTCGGTGGGATACGACCGGTGTGTTGAAAGAAAGAAAGAAAGAAAGATATATATGCCTCAACCCACCACTCTATCATCTGCTCTCCTTTTGCACTCTCTCACCACTCTCTTCACCTTTCTATTACTCTCCATATACTCTGGTCTTCTTATAACACTTCTGCTTTGTAAAAACCTCTCATAAGCTAACTTTTTCTTTTATCACACCCTTTACTTCATCATTCCACCAGTCACTCCTCTTTCCTCCTGCACCCACCCTCCTATAACCACAAACTTCTGCCCCACATTCTGATACTGCATTTTTAAAACTATTCCAACCCTCTTCAACACCCCCCCCCCCCCCATCCTCACTGCTCATACTTGCACCAGCCCACCTTTCTGAAAATAGTTGCTTATATCTCACCCGAACTTCCTACTCCCTTAGTTTATACACTTTCACCTCTCTCTTACTTCTTGTTGCCATTTTCCTCTTTTCCCATCTACCTCTTACTCTAACTGTAGCTACAACTAAATAATGATCCGATATATCAGCTGCCCCTCTACAAACATGTACATCCTGGAGCCTACCCATCAACCTTTTATCCACCAATACATAATCTAACAAACTACTTTCATTACATGCTATATCATACCTTGTATTTTTATTTATCCTCTTTTTCATAAAATATGCATTACTTATTACCAAACCTCTTTCTACACATAGTTCAATTAAAGGCTCCCCATTTTCATTTACCCCTGGTACCCCAAATTTACCTCTTACTCCCCATGCATTCACTCAACATTTCCCAAAATCTCTCCTCTACACTTCTCTCTTCTCCAGGTGCATATACACTTAATATAACCCACTTTTCACATCCAACCTTTATTTTACTCCACGTAATCCTTGAATTAATACATTTATACTCCCTCTTTTCCTGCCATAGCTTATCCTTCAACATTATTGCTACTCCTTCTTTAGCTCTATTTGAAACCCCTGACCTAATCCCATTTATTTCTCTCCACTGAAACTCTTCCACCCTCTACAGCTTTGTTTCACTTCAAGTCAGGAAATTCAGCTTCTTATTCCTAACATTCACAATCATCTCTTTCTTATCATTTGCACAACATCCACGCACATTCAGACTTCCCACTTTGACAGTTTTCTTCTTATTCTTTTTAGTAATTAATACAGGAAAAGGGGTTACTAGCCCATTGTTTCCAGCGTTTTAGTTGACTTTTACAACACGCATGGCTTACGGAGGAAAGATTCTTATTCCACTTCCCCATAGATATAAAAGGAAAAGTAACAAGACCAAGAACTATTAAGATAAAATCAAAGAAAACTCGGATATGTATGTATAAATGAACGTGTACATATATGTGTAGTGTGACCTAAGTGTAAGTACAAGTAGCAAGACGTACCTGTAATCTTGCATATTTATGAGACAGACAAAAGACACCAGCAATCCTACCATCATGTAAAACAATTACAGGCTTTCGTTTTACACTTACTTGACAGGACGTTAGCACTTCCCTGGGTGGTTGCTGTCTTCCAACCTACTATATATACATGTATCGAAAATGTACAAAGAAATTTCACTGCGTATATAAATAGTCAGACACCTGAATTATTGAAAATGCTTAGTCTGTTATACTCCCTGGAATCTAGGTGAGAAAGATGTGCTGAAATTTACTTTTGAAAACACTGGAGGGACTAGTTACCTAATTTGCACATGCCACAAGGTCTCAAACCTTTTGCCACCCTTCCTTCAAGTATAAAAGTAATCACCTTCATATACCTAAGTGTCCTCGAAAGGAAATATTACATGTTTCTACTGGCAATTCCTAATCAGCCTAGCTGTAATGCACAAATTGAACTGCATACACCAAGTGGTAACAACCTGATTGATCAGGCTGTCAACCAGCAAGTCTGCTGGTTGAGGCAGTAATTGCTGGAACCATCACCAGGTACAATAATTAAGGAAAATAAAATGGGGAAAATGATGGTGCTTGATAATCACTTGCCTTAGTTATTAGTTCCCTAAAGAGTTTAAGGATAAGTTATCTTTCAGTTTTGAATACATTTTCCTGTGTTGTGTTAAAAAGTAGCTTTAAATACAAAATTTTATTTTTACTTGAGTGGTAGTTTTGGAGACTTGCATTTTGTTTCTTTTATTATTTTTTGAAAATGCTGTATCTTCATAAATGTAAATAGGCATCATATGTTTGTTTTTCAGCGCAATGGTCCCCGTGGCATTCCCTCTGGGGGCATAATAATCACAGTAGATGGAACAAATTTTGATGTTATTAGAGAACCCAAAATGTATGTAGTGTATAAAGAAAAAGAATATACCAACGTAAGTACAAAAGTATGCTCATTGAAATTTGGCTAGAATTCAGATTTGTAAATACAGTATATATTTACATTGGTTTATTATTATAATTAAAATTTTAATTTTACATTTTGTCTAAGTCAGTGTCAAATACAGTGCATGTCATGGTGATTATACCTGCATGACTCGCTTGTTAATTGTAATCCATACTATTATCTACAGCCATGTGAAGTAAAGAATTCAACAAGGATGGAATGCAAGTCACCCGCTATATCAATTGGAAATGAACGGATAGACCATGAAAATGGAATGAAGCTGGATTATGGGTTCATTATGGATCACGTGAAGTCTGTTAGAAATCTTGACAGTTTAGGATTTTCACCCTTCCTTGTTTATCCCAATCCAGTGTATTTTTCATTTGAAGACTCTGATATGGTAAGTGACTGGTACACACACTGTGGAATATATGTATAATACAGATGTACATTATTATTATTATGAATACATTCATGTAAAAAGTTCTAATCTGCCATTAGTATTGAGCTTATTTTCTTTTTTGTCATGACTTTATAATTTCAGGTTAAACAATACAAGTCAGATTATCTTACAATCAATGGTAAGAATCTGGACCGAGCATCCCAGGAGATCGATGTTGAGGTTCTCATTGGCTCCGAGTCTTGCAACGTGACTTCACTCTCACGGTCACAACTAACATGCCGACCCCCTAAAGAACAACCTGAAGCTCTAAACGGGGATGGCTTCCCACAAGTTGTAGTAGGTCTAATTTTTTTTTCTAAAGAACTTGTTTCATTGCTGGAGGTTCTTTGATGCCAGTGAGGGAGGGGGGGTGCTTGATCCAAAAAATTGGACCTGATCTTCCATTCTTCAGATTGAATCTGATTACTTCCCATTTTCCAGGTGCTGTGACCCCTATGGATGTAACACTTTGACATAATAGTAATAATAATACATAGTAATAATGAAAATAGAAGTGCATTTGGTAGTGTGAGGTTGCTATGTTAACTCAAAAATATTATTTTGCAGGTAATTGTTGGCAGTAATCTGAGATATGAGATTGGATATTTGAAGTATGCTGGCACCACAGATGTTGGCACACTGTCTAAACAATTGATCATTGGGTTGTCTGTGGGTGCAGTGGTCTTAATTTTCATCTTGGTTGTCTGTTTAATTGTTTACCGTCAGAAGAGCAATCAGAATTCAAGAGTCCTTAAGAGTATGCAGGAGCAAATGGATGTCCTTGAACTTAGAGTTGCTGCTGAATGCAAAGAAGGTATGTGCTCTGATTAATATTGTAGGTGTCCCTCACTTTATGCTGAAGATGTGTGTCAGCTTAATAATCTCATTCAGGTCATGATTAGCTCATTGTAGGAATCTTCATTATTTTTTGCAAGTACTTTGACCGTATATGGGTAATGTATATGATACATGGGGAATTACTGGTAGAAGTGGGCCAGGACACCAAAACAAATTTGTAATTTTAACCTAAAAACAATTTATGAATACTTCAGATACCGCTAACATTTTTCCCAATAAGGCCTTGTATCTTATCAGTTCCATGCTGCATTCTTTGCTTAACTAATGAGTAAGGCTTTATGGTTAATGTCTCATTACAAACTGTAGTATAGCCCCATTTTTTGTATCCGTTGTCCCTTGACTTTTATTCTAAACTTTTTTTATACTGTATCACATGTAAAAGTCTACTTGTTAGTGAGACAGTATATAACAGTTGAGAATTGAATGGGATGGCATATTCCTTGTCTCCTCACAGTGAAGCACCGCTCAATACAGCGTCTCCTCACTTAGCAATGTATTTGTTTACCAACGCCTCGGACTTACAACAGGCTCTCTGACCAGTATACATACCTAAACAATGTATATTAGAGCTGATTTCCTCTATTCTGTTTATTACAATATACAGTACACTACTGTATAAACATTTAAGAATATACCAGAAATGTTATAAATTGTGCAAAAATGACATTAAAACAATATCAATGATGGTTGACACAAACCCACTACCAGTATAATATGCTCCTCACTTAGTGACGAATTCATTTACCGATGTGGTCTTAGGAACAGAACTCGGTCGTTAAGTGAGGAGAGGCTCTATTAGCCAAATATTGGTAGACTGTACAGTGTTGTATGATCCACCACATCATTTCTTTAGAACTCATGCCCCTTCTGCTTCACTTACCTACTTTATCCTTCATTCCAAGTATCCCGCCTTCTCTGCTTAATACGTTGTCAGTTACTCCCTAGACTTAGGCCTGCAAGGTGCACCTCTTAAGCAGACTTTCAGGTGCCAATCTCTGGCATTCCAGAGGTTTAGCATACTATGTCCTACAGGGATGAAGTGCTGGTGAAAAGTTTTAACAATTTTAATATATTTAATAAATTAACAAAATATAATTAATCTCTTTTCAGAACATCTAAGAGAATAGCTTCTTAATATACACACTACTGTAGGCTCTATGAATAGCTTTTCTTAGTGAACCTATGAAACATACTAAACTGAATGTCTAACTTGGTTGCTTTTAAATTTCAGGATTTGTATATAGAAAACACATGCAGTGAATTGGGAATTTTAAGAGAGCTTTTGTTCACCAGGAGTTTCTTAAAGCCAACGGAATGAAGAAACTCATTGTGACCACAACATCTTTTAAAAAAATGTTCCCATACGTTGTATATGCAGAACAACCGCTGTGAAAAATATAGTGAAATTCTAATGGTTGTTCAGTGCTTGTTCTGCATATTATGATATCACGTGTTTACTGTGATCTTATTGCATGTTGTTTGTGTGTCTCGTATACATTTCTCAGTATTAATTACCTTGTGTGATTTACATTTCAGCATTTGCTGAACTTCAGACAGAAATGACAGACTTAACAAGTGATCTGATTGGTGGCGGTATTCCATTCCTGGAGTATCGTACGTATGCAATGAAGATCCTCTTCCCTAACCTGGAAGAAACCACTGTGCTACAGATGGACCGGCCAGACCTGGTCCGCAAGGAGAAGGGCCTCAAACTCTTTGGTCAACTAATTATGAATAAGACATTTTTATTACTTTTCATTCGTACACTGGAATCCAATAGATATTTCTCTATGAGAGACAGGTGAGATTCTAAGAAATATTCAAGTTTTACTTTAACAATTTAATTTTAATAATTTAATTTTGCCTCTTGAGATCCTTCTTCCAGTCATACCAGCATCATACTTAAACATTGTTTCCCAGTTCTGAATATAATTGATTTCATGATAATGATTTTTTTGTATAAACTTTTTTGAACCTAATAATTTTTTCTTCTGCAGAGTGAATGTTGCTGCTCTTATAATGGTGGCACTGCAAGGCAAAATGGAATATTGTTCAGATATTCTCAAGACACTTTTAGCTGACCTTATAGAAAAATGTATTGAAGGAAAGATACACCCTAAACTTCTATTTAGAAGGTGAGTACTTAAAAGTATGGTACAGTAGTCGATTCTCTCATAAAGAGAAACTTTGATGAAAAGTTTGTATATTGTGAGTGGTGTTCCAGTTCTTCAAAGCTAATGAATTGTAATTCCAGTGCTTATACGTGAAGAGTGTGAGAGTGAAACTGAGTGTGTGAGTGTGTGAGTGTGAGAGTGACAGTGAGAGAGTGTGAGAGTGTGAGAGTGTGAGAGTGAGAGAGTGTGAGTGTGTGTGAGTGAGACAATGTGAGAGAGTGTGAAAGTGAGTGTGACAATGTGAGAGTGTGTGAAAGTGAGTGTGTTTGTGTTTGTGTGTGTTTGTGTGTGTTTGTGTGTGTGTTTGTGTGTGTTGTGTGTGTTTGTGTGTGTGTGTGTGTGTGTGTGTGTGTGTGTGTGTGTGTGTTGTGTGTATGTTGTTGTGTGTGTGTGTTTGTGTGTGTGTGTGGTGTGTGTGTGTGTGTGTTGTGTGTGTGTGTGTGTGTGTGGGTGTGTGGGGTTTGTTTCTCAACAAGTTGGCCATCTCCCACAGAGGCAGGGTGACCCTAAAAGAAAGAAAATCCCCAAAAAGAAAATACTTTCATCATTAAATACTTTCACCTCACTCATACATAATTACTGTTTTTGCAGACACACCCAGATACAACAGTTTAGAAGCATATATAAAGATATATAACATATCCCTCCAAACTGCCAGTAACCAAAACCCCTCCTTTAAAGTGCAGGTATTGTACTTCCAATTTCCAGCACTCAAGTCTGGCTATATAAAAATAACCAGTTTTCTTGAATCTCTTCACTAACTATTACCCTGCTCACACTCCAGCAGCTCGTCAGGTCCCAAAAACCATTCGTCTCCATTCACTCCTATCTAACGCGCTCACGCACACTTCCTAGAAGTCCAAGCCCCTCACCCACAAAACCTCCTTTACCCCCTCCCTCCAACCTTTGCCTTCCTTCCTACCCTGCCTTCCTTCCCCTACAGATTTATATGCTCTCCATGTCATTCTTCTTTGATCCATTCTCTCTAAATGACCAAACCACCTCAGAAACCCCTCTTCAGCCCTCTGACAAATACTTTTATTAACTCCACACCTTCTCCTAATTTCCACACTCCGAATTTTCTGCATAATATTTACACCACACATTGCCCTTAGACAGGACATCTCCACTGCCTCCAACCACCTCCTCGCTGCAGCATTTACAACCCAAGCTTCACACTCATGTAAGAGTGTTGGTAATACTATGCTTTCATACATTCCCTTCTTTGCCTCCATAGATAACGTTTTTTTGTCTCCACATATACCTCAACGTACCACTCGCCCTTTTTTTCCTTATCAATTCTATGATTAACCTCATCCTTCATAAATCCATCTGCCGACACGTCAACTCCCAAATATCTGAAAACATTCACTTCTTCCATATTCCTCCTCCCCAATGTGATATCCAATTTATCTAAATCATTTGATACCCTCATCACCTTACTCTTTTCTATGTTCACTTTCAACTTTCTACCTTTACACACACTCCCAAAGTCATCCACTAACCTTTGCAGTTTTTCTTTAGAATCTCCCATATGCAAGCATCATCAGCAAAAAGTAATGGTGTCAATTCCCATTTTGTATTTGATTCCCAGTAATTTAATCCTACCCCTCTCCCGAACACCCTAGCATTTACTTCTTTTACAACCCCATCTATAAATATATTAAACAGCCATGGTGATTGGAGTGATTGGTGGAATGATGAAGTAAAGGGTGTGATAGAGAAAAAGGTAGTGTATGAGAGGTATGTATTTACAAAGCAGAAGTGTTATAAGAAGAGTAGAGTATATGGAGAGTAAAAGAAAGGTGAAGAGAGTGGTGAGAGAGTGCAAAAGGAGAGCGGATGATAGTGGGAGAGGCACTGTCAAGAAATTTTAATGAAAATAAGAAAAAATTTTGGAGCGAGTTAAACAAGTTAAGAAAGCCTAGGGAACAAATGGATTTGTCAGTTAAAAACAGAGTAGGGGAGTTAGTAGATGGGGAGATGGAGGTACTACCATCCTGCCAAGTGAGCGTAAAACGAAAGTCTGTAGTTGTTTTACATGATGGTAGGATTGCTGGTGTCCTTTTTTTCTGTCTCATGAACATGCAAGATTTCAGGTACGTCTTGCTACTTCTACTTACACTTAGGTCACACTACACATACATGTACAAGCATATATATACACACCCCTCTGGGTTTTCTTCTATTTTCTTACCAGTTCTTGTTATTGTTTATTTCCTCTTATCTCCATGGGGAATTGGAACAGAATTTTTCCTCCGTAAGCTGTGTGTGTTGTAAGAGGCAACTAAAATGCCAGGAGCAAGGGGCTAGTAACCCCTTCTCCTGTATAAATTACTAAATTTAAAAAGAGAAACTTTCGTTTTTCTTTTTGGGCCACCCTGCCTCGGTGGGATACAGCCTGTTTGTTGAAAGAAAGAAAGAAGAATATATATATTGTAGGTAGTAGGTTGGTAGACAGCAACCTCCCAGGGAGGTACCACTGTCCTGCCAAGTGAATGTAAAATGGAAGTCTGTATTTGTTTTACATGATGGTAGGATTGCTGGTGTCCATTTTTCTGTATCATAAACATGCATGGTTTCAGGTACGTCTTGTTACTTCTACTTACACTTACGTCACACTACACATACATGTACAAGCATGTATATAAACACCCCTCTGGGTTTTCTTCTGTTTTCTTTCTAGTTCTTGTTCTTGTTTATTTCCTTTTACCTCCATGGGGAGGTAAAGCTATGTGTGTTGAAAGAGGTGACTAAAATGCCAGGAGCAAGGGTAACCCCTTCTCCTGTATAAATTACTAAATTTAAAAAAAAAAAATTCTTTTTTTTTTCTTTTTGGGCCACTCTGCCTTGGTGGGATATGGCCAGTTTGTTGAAAAAAAAATATGCCATATACAGTGGACCCCCGGTTAACGATATTTTTTCACTCCAGAAGTATGTTCAGGTGCCAGTACTGACCGAATTTGTTCCCATAAGGAATATTGTGAAGTAGATTAGTCCATTTCAGACCCCCAAACATACACGTACAAACACACTTACATAAATACACTTACATAATTGGTCGCATTCGGAGGTGATCGTTATGCGGGGGTCCACTGTATATTGTAGGTAGTAGGTTGGTAGACAGCAACCTCCCAGGGAGGTACTACCGTCCTGCCAAGTGAATGTAAAACGAAAGCCTGTATTTGTTTTACATGATGGTAGGATTGCTGGTGTCTTTTGTCTGTCTCACAAACATTCAAGATTTCAGGTACGTCTTGCTACTACTTACTCTTAGGTCACACTAGACATATATGTATAAGCATATATATACACACCCCTCTGGGTTTTCTTCTGTTTTCTTTCTAGTTCTTGTTCTTGTTTATTTCCTTTTACCTCCATGGGGAAGTAGAACAGAATTCTTCCTCCGTAAGCCATGCGTGTTGTAAGAGGCGGCTAAAATGCCAGGGGCAAGGGGCTGGTAACCCCTTCTCTTGTATAAATTAATAAATTTAAAAAGAGAAACTGTTGTTTTTCTTTTTGGGCCGCCATGCCTTGGTGGGATATGGCCGGTTTGTTGGAAAAAAAAAAAAATATAATATATATATATATATATTATATATATATATATATATATATATATATATATATATTAATATATTATATATATATATATATATAATATAATATATATATATATTGGAGTGTGAGCAAAGTAACATTTATGAAGGGATTCAGGGAAACCGGCAGGCCGGACTTGAGTCCTGGAGATGGGAAGTACAGTGCCTGCACTCTGAAGGAGGGGTGTTAATGTTGCAGTTTAAAAACTGTAGTGTAAAGCACCCTTCTGGCAAGACAGTGATGGAGTGAATGATGGTGAAAGTTTTTCTTTTTCGGGCCACCCTGCCTTGGTGGGAATCGGCCAGTGTGATAATAATAAAAAAAAAAAAAAAAATAAAAATAATATATATATATATATAGGTAGTAGGTTGGTAGACAGCAACCGCCCAGGGAGGTACTACCGTCCTGCCAAGTGAGTGTAAAACGAAAGCCTGTAATTGTTTTACATGATGGTAGGATTGCTGGTGTCCTTTTTTCTGTCTCATGAACATGCAAGATTTCAGGTACGTCTTGCTACTTCTACTTACACTTAGGTCACACTACACATACATGTACAAGCACATATATACACACCCCTCTGGGTTTTCTTCTATTTTCTTTCTAGTTCTTATTCTTGTTTATTTCCTCTTATCTCCATGGGGAAGTGGAACAGAATTCTTCCTCCGTAAGCCATGCGTGTTGTAAGAGGCGACTAAAATGCCGGGAGCAAGGGGCTAGTAACCTCTTCTCCTGTATATATTACTAAATGTAAAAGGAGAAACTTTCGTTTTTCCTTTTGGGCCACCCCGCCTCGGTGGGATACGGCCGGTGTGTTGAAAGAAAGATATATATATATATATATATATAGGTAGTAGGTTGGTAGACAGCAACCACCCAGGGAAGTACTACCGTCCTGCCAGATGACTGTGAAACAAAAACCTGTAACTGTTTTGCATGATGGTAGGATTGCTGGTTTCTTTTTCTGTCTCATAAACACGCTAAGATAACAGGGATATCTTGCTACTCCTACTTACACTTTGGTCACACTTCACAGACACGCACATGCATATATATATATACATACATCTAGGTTTTTCTCCTTTTTCTAAATAGCTCTTGTTCTTTTTTATTTCTTCTATTGTCCATGGGGAAGTGGAAAAGAATCTTTCCTCCGTAAGCCATGCGTGTCGTATGAGGCGACTAAAATGCCGGGAGCAATGGGCTAGTAACCCCTTCTCCTGTATACAATTACTAAAAAGAGAAGAAGAAAAACTTTATAAAACTGGGTTGCTTAAATGTGCGTGGATGTAGTGCGGATGACAAGAAACAGATGATTGCTGATGTTATGAATGAAAAGAAGTTGGATGTCCTGGCCCTAAGCG